AAAAAAAAAACAGAAATAAATAATTTAAAATTACAAATAATAGGACTTTTAAAAGCGAAAAAAATATTTTGTGCATTTCACGCATGTTAGTATGAAAAAAAACTCTGAAGTGTGACTGGAAAAATTGCCTTTAGTGTTACATCGTTTCATTTCTCTCTAACAGCGCTATTTCGTGTATTGTACGCGCTTGCGCATAACTTATCTCTTTCATTTGTCCCATTCCTCTTCTTTACTATAGTTAGTACTCATTTGAGCGTACTCTCATATGCTCATTTCGCATTTACGCTCACTCATTCTCTCAAAGATTTTTCATTTCACTCAAATTTTAAAACGCAATTGTTGCTTTGTTTTCCTGCGCTCAATGAGTCTAATTTCAAAGGACGTGTCGTAGAAATACGAGTACAAGGATGAGCACCAAAACGGATACCTATACTTCGGTTGTGTTTGTTATTTGTAAGCGAAGGTTTTTACTGGCAAATCGTTAGAATGGTTTCGGGCTTACGGTCAGTGGACGCGGTTGGCGTTTGAAGAAGGAAAAATAAATACAATAAAAATTTGTGTATTTATGCTTTACATATAATTACATATGTATGTATAATTTAAAGTGAAAAGTTAACAAAATAAATGTGGCAATGCAACATAATCATTAAAATAAAAGCAGTAATCAAAGTGATTTTTTTTTGTTATCGATTTGTATGCGGTTCCTTTAACTCACCTGCAGTTATGTATGCGTGAAATGCGCAAAATATTTTAGAAATGTAGAAAAACAAGCAAATCATTTAAGCTATGAAACTATGTTAAATATTTACTAATTTATTTTATTCTAAAAAATTCAGCCTAATTCGTAAAGTACAGTGCATTCCGTTAGTTTATATGCCACACGACTGTTTTAAGCAGCTGTTTAAACTACTACGAAAATTTACGAAAATAAACGAAAATTTTGAAAATAAACATAAAAAACGAACAAGTTCAGCCATTTACATAAGTTTGTTTTGACAAAAAAAAGTGCGAAAAATATGCAACTTCCAACGGCGATCCACAGCACGCAGGAATAAGTCTGAAAGCTGTTTTGAAACAGCGAATTCGCAGGAATTTCTATTTTTTAAGGTAAATGATAACATAAGTAAAATTATGTATGTTTAAATAGTGTGTGGCGAATTGGTAAGGTCACCCACATTTTGATAAGCTTCATATTAAAAAAAAATTAATATAATTTCTGCAAAATTTTAAAGTTTAATACAATTTTTTACAAAGTATGTTCGCCAATTTTTAAATAGAAAAAAGGGCAAAGTACGGTCAGCAAAAAAAATATGAAAAATCAGCGGCAGTTTGTAGCAGCTTCAAACTTCCACCTGCACACAAAAGCTTGCTGAAAATTCGGAATAGAAAGTGTGACATTTTTATGAAACTTTCTTAATTTTTTTAATTTCTCAGAAAATTTTCGATAAATTCGGAATAAAGTGTGATATTTTGATGGAAATTTCACGAATTTTGCACACAGTTTGAAACTTGAATTTATTTAACGTTTTGGTGTAAAAAAAACTATATTAAGAATGTATTAAAATTAATTTGAAAAAAATAAA